TAGCTTGTTTATTTTTGCAGTCCCCCCACAAATACACCCGTTTAGCTTTGGAGACGAAGTTATTAATTCGGGCGAATTAGTCACGGCGACTTGCGCAGTTTCCAAAGGAGATTTTCCAATAAAAATAAAATGGACTTTGAATGGACAAAATATAAACAGCGTTAGTGGAATTGTAGCTGCTAATACGAATAAGAAAGTCAGTCAGCTTACCATAGAGTCAGCCTTAGCTCACCATTCTGGAGAGTATGCTTGTATAGCTGAGAATAACGCTGGTGTTGCTAAACATGCCGCTTATTTGAACGTTAATGGTATTAAGAAATTATAGTGTTGTATATATTTCAAAGATAATTGTTAGTTGCTTTTACGCTGTAAAATATTTTAATCCTGTTCCCTTTTTCCTTTTGTGTTAATATTTTACTATTTTTGTTAAAAAAAGATCTCTAGATGAGCCTTTAGCTTTTTTTATCCAAATTTGAAACGATTCGATCAATTTTCACACGTTACAGCAAAGCTTTCGACAAGGGCTGGTAATTTATGTGTTGGTGGCTAATTTTCTTCTTTCAACACTCAAGAATAACTTTTGGTCCTAATAAATAGAGCTGGGAGGGCTTATTACAGTACCACTCTAAAAAAGAATAACTACAGTTGTTATATTAATGTATCTCTGAAGCTGTATTCAAATCACAATGGTACCACAATTTTTGGTAAGAAAATTGATTTTCCATTACTTCTAGTACCTCCACATATATTGCCGCTCGATTTTGGAGAAGATGCTGTTAATTACGGCGAATTTGCTTCACTCACATGTTCTGTTCATAAAGGAGATTTACCCATAAACATATCTTGGCTTCACAACAATAAAAGTATTGGCTATATCGATGGATTATCGATATCAAAGGCTGGTAAAAAAGTTAGTACGATCACAATCGATTCTGTTGAAGCTTCACATGCTGGAACTTTTACTTGTGTAGCTGCTAATAAAGCTGGAGAAGCGTATTATAATGCAATATTAAATGTCAATGGTAAACGTTTAAATATATAGTTTATTACTGATTTTATATGTCCACATTCCTATATACCTAATGAATTCTACCCCTTCTATAAATGATCATCTTGTTTGCTATCTAGAAAACGAAATATACCTAAATTAACAAAGAGAGAACATGACATTTCTACTTGTATTTGTAGTTCCACCGCAAATTTTACCACTCAACTTTGGAGAAGATTCAGTAAACTCTGGAGACGTGGCTTCCCTACAATGTACAGTATTCAAAGGAGATTTTCCCCTAAATATAACTTGGCTACATAATAACAAAACTATCGGTTACAACAGCGGCATTTTGATAATTCAAAATGGGAAAAAAGTTAGCAGTCTCACTATAGAATCAGTAAGCGAGGCGCACATGGGAACTTATTCCTGCTTAGTTCAGAATGCTGCAGGAACTTCCAGCTATTCAGTCGAACTAAACGTTAATGGTATTATTCGGTTAATTTTTTTAATTTTATTTTTATATATTTTGAATCCTTTACCTTCTTTTCCGCTTTAATTTCTTATTCGGATTGGTTAGGAAGTATTTTGTTTCATATAGCAGGAAGGAAATCTGGTCAAAGATCACTTCCCTGAGGTACATGGCACCTGCTTACACTCTTCAAGACCTCCTAGGGCGACACTACAACCTTCATTTTAGAATTCTACTGCCATACACAGTCACTCCAAGTCATAGATGGTTAAACTCTAGTACCATGGCTCATATCGCAACTCTCCGGTTAAAGAACCATAAAAAAATTTAGTTTTAAGTACGTAGAATATAAATGACTTGTATTTTTAGTTCCACCGCAAATTTTGCCGTTCAATTTTGGAGAGGAATCTGTGAATTCTGGTGACGTTGCTTCGTTGACTTGCACAGTATTTAAGGGAGATTTTCCACTGAACATTACTTGGTTGCATAATAATAAAACTATCGGTTATAATAGTGGTATTTTAATTCTGCAAAACGGCAAAAAGGTCAGCAGTCTTACAATTGAATCAGTTGGTGAAGAACACGTTGGATTGTATTCGTGTTTTGTTCAAAACGGGGCAGGATTCTCCACGTTCTCCGTTGAATTAAATGTTAATGGTACCTACTATTTTTAAGTTGTTCTGTTTTTATTTTCAAATGACACCTCACCCTACCTACATCTTCCACATTCCAAATTTGAATTCGACTAGATATCTTGGTTTTGACTTAAAACTGGTGAAAGTTACAAGTCACAGGGGCCTGGACAACTCTTATTCCAGTTATTTGTTGAATTTATCTTGTACCGCAACTTTATATTGATTGAACCGAAGTGTTTAGGATAGGTGCACAATATTTTTAGGTAGTCCAAGTTTGTATATCCACATCAATTTATTTCAGTTCCTCCTTTAATAACTCCATTCGATTTTGGCGAAGAAACTATAAATACTGGTGATTACGCTTCCATACAATGTTCGGTACATAAGGGTGACTTACCATTAAAATTGTCGTGGTTTCATAATAATAAAACACTAAAACACAACTTTGGAATTTCTGGTAACGAAGGTTGGAAGCAAAGGTAGTTCTATCACCCTAGAATCTATCAGAGAAGAACATGCTGGAACCCTACACTTGCGAAGCTAAAAATAGAGCAGGGATTAGCACAATACTCAGCTATACTTAGCGTTAATGGTATATCATCAATGTTATATTTACTTGAAAAAAAAAAAGAGCATGCAACAGTTTTTTGTTTTCCAGCCATTCCCCAAATTTTACCGTTTAATTTTGGAGAGGATTCTGTTAACTCTGGCGATGTTGCGTCTGTGCAATGTACAGTTTTCAAAGGAGACTTACCCATTAATATAACTTGGTTTCATAACAGCAAACTTGTTTCATACGGCGAAGGAATCATTATTTCACACGTCAGTAAAAAAGTCAGCTCTTTAACTATAGACGATGTTCGTGGTGAACATGCAGGGAATTATACTTGCGTAGCCCAAAACAGTGCAGGGATTAGTATTGAAACTGCCCAATTAAACATTAACGGTATTAAAATTATAACAGTAGTTTAATATTTTTTGTTTGATTATTATTATTTTTCAAAATATGAATATAGAAGAAAAAGCATGGGCCTCTTTCTTTTGTTTTTAGCTTTTAAATCGTTTTGTACCTTACTTTATCTAACCCAAGTCGTCTTCAACAATTTCTTTATTTTAATTAACAATAATTCTGGTGAATAATCAGCTGCAGATAAGACAAATTTTAAAAAGTTTATTAATACTGTAGGCCTCCCTTAAGTTCTTCCATCCAGTGCTGCTATAATCCAGTGACTTACTTGCAAATTATCTCAAGGTCTCCAATTTATTCCTTAATTTTAGAGATATTTCTCGCCAATTGGCAACGCCGATTATTATTTTTATTTTTCTCCAGTTTTACCCCATATTACACCTTTCGATTTTGAAGAAGAAGCCAACACAGGAGACAGCGTCCAACTCACTTGTTACGTCAGCAAAGGCGATTTACCTTTAAATATAACGTGGCTTCTTAACGGAGAAGAAATAAAAAGTCACTTGGGAGTAAATACCATTTTTATCGGGAGTAAAACTAATTTGTTGACCATTAATGCAGCCCAACCTGACCATGCCGGGAATTATACCTGCAAAGCTTCTAATAAGGGCGGAGATGCTACTCATACTGCTGAGTTGTTCATTAATGGTATAAATGGCTGCTGAATAAACTAGCTTCTATTTGTTCTTTCAATTCATTAAAACTGTGACCATTCCACCTTTATAGCAATTTATTCAAATTTTTCCCCAGTTCTTCCCTACATTACACCTTTCGAATTCGAGGGTGAGGCCAATACTGGCGATAACGTTCAATTGAACTGCTATGCGGCTAAAGGCGACATACCCCTAAACGTAACTTGGCTGCTTAACGGTAAAGAAGTGAAACCCAATTTGGGCATTAACACAATTGCTATTGGATCCAGAACTAGTCTCTTAACAATAAACACTCTTCAACCTGAACACGCGGGACTCTACACCTGTCAAGTATCGAACAAAGGAGGCGTAGTCGAAACATAGCGCTGAATTATTTATTAACGGTACAGATAATCGTTATTTGTAGTTGTAGCAGTACCACTTTCTTGTAGTAAATGCTTTTTATTTCCATAGTTTTACCCCACATCACACCATTTTCCTTCGAAGACGAAGCGAACGCTGGTGACAGCGTTCAAGTGTCTTGTTACGTCAACAAAGGTGATATGCCTTTGTCTTTTGCTTGGATGTTCAACGGAAAACCTATATCTGACGTAATGCCAGTCAATGTTAATCCTTTTGGAACCAAAACTTCAGTGTTGAGTATCGATAACGTTGAAGGTATTCACGCAGGAAACTATACGTGCCTTGTCTCCAATAAAGCTGGAATTTCTACATATGCAGCTGAATTATTAGTAAAGGGTATTTAGGTATTCATTTGTTTATGTGCTTACTCCACCTATCCTTTTTAAAGACCTTTTGACACCTAATTGATATTCACTTACTTATTAACGATATTTTCCTCCAGTTTTGCCCAACATAATCCCCTTCACATTTGAAGGAGAAGCGAACTCTGGTGATATGGCTCAAGTGTCTTGTTATGTGAACAGAGGAGACATTCCAATGATCTTTAATTGGATGTTAAATGGTAAAGCTGTATCAGAAAATAACGGATTCGGCATTACTAAAGTTGGAACCAGAACATCGCTATTAAGCATCGAATCAGTTGAATCCCGTCATATTGGAAATTATACGTGCGTTGTTTCTAATAGAGCTGGAATTTCTAGTTACTCTACAGAATTATTAGTCAAGGGTAAAAGTCAGGTTTTTATTTTAATTTACTAGACTTTCCTTTCTTTTTTTGGCGTCTATTTTGGATGCGTTATTTTTCTCCTCCACCTTCTCCCTCTCTTACTACTTGCCTCAACTTGCAATCTTATGGTTTTTTTTATTTTGGGATGTTTTCCTCATTTTGCCTGAACCTTGTCTTTTCACATTCTAATATTCTAATATCTAATATTTAAATTTTTAGGGGTGAAATTTTTAGTAAATTTGTGAATACATTTTAATTAATAAATAGAATTTTATCTTCAGTGCTACCACACGTAATACCGTTTACATTCGAAGATGAAGCCAATTCGGGCGATATGGCGCAAGTGTCTTGTTATGCGACGAAAGGAGATACTCCATTGTCCTTTTCATGGTTGCGTAATGGGTTACCCATATCGCAACAGGTTAAAGGCGTTAATATAATGATGCTGGGAACAAAAACTTCAGTGTTGAGTATCGATTCTGTCGACTGGCACCACGCTGGTAACTATACGTGCGTGGTCTCTAACAGAGCTGGAATTTCAACACATACATCAGAATTGTTCGTTAAGGGTATATAGTTATTGATTTGTCTTGCTTGTTTTCACTAAATTTCCTAAAAACAGTTCCTTAACATCCTTTTTTGGCCCTTAGTGCTACCCCACGTTATACCATTCACTTTCGAAGAGGAAGCTAACTTCGGGGATATGGCTCAAGTTTCGTGCTATGCAACTAAAGGCGATATGCCAATGATTTTTTCTTGGATGCGTAATGGTGCTCCAATATCACCGCAGAATAAGGGAATTGCTGTAAACATGTTTGGAACGAAAACATCGTTGTTGAGTATTGCATCTGTTGATTGGCATCACGCTGGGAACTATACATGCGTAGTAGCTAATAAAGCTGGTATTTCTACTCAAAGCGCGGAATTATTAGTCAAGGGTATTATTTTATGATTTGATAAAAAGCACTATTTTACTAACGCAAACCTTACCAAATTTTTTGACCACAAATGTATGTTAAATTTGATAATAACTTACATCATCTTTTCAAATCCTTCTCTATAGGTTCCTTTAACATTTCTTGAAAACTTACTGACATAATTGTATAGTCAAAAACTTCTGATCTATGACAATAACCTCAAAAATAATGTTTCTCCCAGTTTTACCTCGCGTTCAGCCATTTTCTTTTGGAGAGGAACCGCTTTTCTTGGGAGAGTCCACAACAGTACAATGTAGCATAAATGCAGGGGATCTACCTGTCAAATTTTCCTGGTTGATAAATGGAAGACCAATCCAAAAGGAAGACGGTTATAATATTGGAAGTTTTGGGAAAAAAGTATCAGTTTTAAGCATAGATTCAGTTACAGAGAAGCATACAGGAAATTACACATGTCTAGCAGCAAACAAAGCTGGATTATCAAGCTACGCGGCAGAATTAATTGTCAAGGGTATATCTTTTATTTATCCCTTTTATCTTTTATTTATCCCATAGTCTTTTCCTAAACAGCATCAACCTTACAAATCTGAAATATTAATTTTTCTTTAGTTATGCCTCGGATAACTCCATTTTACTTCGAAGACAACCCCGTGCATTCTGGCCAGTATGTTCAAGTATCTTGTTCAGTTACCGAAGGAGATTTTCCAATAAATATATTTTGGCAATTGAACGGCGAAATAGTAAGCAATGTTGCCGATACCACGGTTACTCCTGTAGGAAAAAGGACGTCTTCATTGGAAATAGAATCGGTTACGTACAAACACGCGGGAAATTACACGTGTACAGCTACAAATCAAGCAGGCGCAGCTGTTTTTACAACAGGATTACTAGTTAATGGTTAATCAGTGTTATATTGTAGTTTAGTCTGGATGTATTCTTTCAGTTCCCCCACAAATTGTCCCTTTCGATTTTGGAGACGCGGCTGTTCATACAGGCCAGTTAGTTCAAGTTTCTTGCACCGTCACCGAAGGAGACTTGCCAGTATCTATTAAATGGAAGCTGAACTTGAAAGATTTGAAGGATTTTCCAGATATATCTACGACTTCTGTCGGGAAACGAATTTCTATTCTAGCAATAGATTCAGTGTCGTATCAGCATGCTGGAAATTATACTTGTTCAGCTGTTAATGGAGCTGGATCGGCGCAGTATACTTCGAAGCTTCTAGTTAACGGTTAATTCACATTTAGCTTTTCCGCTTTACTGCTTAAATAAACGCTTAATCTGAATATTTTAATTGCAGTTCCTCCTCAGATTACACCATTCGATTTTGGTCATGCGCCAGTACATTCTGGTCAGTTCGTCCAAGTTTTCTGTACTGTTTTCGAAGGAGATATGCCAATTAAAATTGAATGGTTGTTGAACCATATGCCTTTGGAAGGTTTTCCGGACATTTCAGTGTCTGTTGTTGGTAAAAGAACGTCATTTTTATCGATAGATTCTGTATCGTATACCCATGCTGGGAATTATTCTTGTAGAGCCAGGAATGAAGCTGGAGAAGCGATATCTACTTCGGAACTTCAAGTCAATGGTTATTTCTTATTATTAGTTAATAGATTAATAGAATTTTTATTTAATATTGTTATTACAACGAGAAAAATCATAATTGAAGTTGGTTATGAAATTTAAATGTTTTGGGTTGGTATTTTAGCCATTTCCACAGAATTACATTTTAACCTTGCCTATTTTCCAATCTCATCTATGTCTTCATGTCCTAGATTCCTATAACAAATAATTTTTGGGACCTCATGTTATTTTTGATAACGTTCTTATTCTACATTGTGGCTTCTACTAGATTACTTTTCGGGTAATTCTGTCTTAGATTAGTTCTTTTTTATAATATCGCATGGCTGAGGACTTTATTTATCCAACTGGAGTTGACTAGACAAAATTGAAAGACTTTATTCGTAATTTTTAAATTATAAAAATAATTGATTATTGAACTTATTTGGTGAGAAATCTTAGTATTGAAACTGCTTTTCCCTTACAGTATCACCGCAGATCACTCCATTCGATTTTGGCAGTGATCCCGTGAATTCGGGTGACATGGTAAATGTATTTTGTACGGTTAACAAAGGCGACGTACCAATCGGAATAAAATGGACGTTCAACGGTAAACCCATCGATAATTTGCAAGGAGTATCAATCTCCCGCACCAACAAACGTATCACCCAATTGACTATCGATTCAGCGCAAGAGTTCCACACTGGACTCTACACTTGCGCAGCCAAAAACCAAGCCGGGGTAGCAAAACATTCTGCTTCATTGCACGTTAATGGTATCTACTCAACGGTGTACTAGTTTTTAGATGAATGTGTCTGTGTTAGATTTTAATTTTTTGTGTCTGTTAGCTATGCAACAACAAATTCTATTTTCTGTTCTGTTCATCATTCACATCGTCAATATTATTGTTTGTTTCTTCTCCAGTTGCGCCTCGCATCACTCCGTTTTATTTCGAAGACAATCCCTTGCATTCTGGGGAATACGCGCAAATAAATTGTTTAGTGGCTGTCGGGGATATACCGATTACCATAGATTGGAGTCTGAATGGAGAAGCGATAGATAACCACCAGGAAATAACGGTATCCAAAGGAGGAAAACGCAGTTCTATGGTAACCATTGAGTCAGTATCCTATTCTAATGCAGGAAATTATAGCTGTCACGCTAAAAATGCAGCAGGGGAGAACGTTTTTACCACAGAACTCCTAGTTAATGGTTAGCGATTTGTTGATGCTTTAAAATCTCTAGTAAAACCCCACACAACGCTTCCTTTAAATTTAAAAGATATTCTATTATGATCTGTTTTCGGACGCGGTTCTCCAGGAAATTTTGAGTACGGTATTAATTTTTTTTTTTAGGAATACATAGTAGGAGTAATTTTTGACTTACCGCGTAACTAATAAGAATTATTAATCTTTGATATTAGTAAAGGATTATTATTAGAAAATATCTGTAATTATAGCATTTTGTTAAAAAGTATGGCCTTTAATCGTAGACTTGAATTACGTCCATGGGCAATATTGTTCAGGAAGTCCATTTTTGCCTTTCATGCAAGAGAGTTAGAAGAAATTTTCTGATAAAGCAGAATCCATCTTTCAAGACGTCATGTATCGGTTGGTGGGTGTCCAGCCAATTTAAAATTACTAAGCTTTCCTGAAATAAAAATAATATATACTCCCTAGTCAAAGTTTCCTGCATGACCTACAGTTAGGTCCTGGATTAGTATCAGTTATCAGTACTCTTGCAATTTAATTGTTCCAGTATTGCCGCTTATCGTTCCATTCAGTTTCGGTGACACTGCTATACATTCCGGCCAAACCACACAAGCCACGTGCCTGGTATCCGAAGGGGATGCCCCGCTGAACATTTCTTGGAGCTTCGGGGGAACTTACATAGACCCCCTCAATAGGATTAGCACCACAAAGATCGGCCAAAAGGCCAATTTGCTATTGATCGATTCTGTCACCGAAGCTCAAGCTGGCAACTACACTTGTACTGCCACCAATAAAGCTGGATCTGTGTTCTATACAGCTTCTTTGAACGTTTATGGTACTCGTTAATTTTGTTCTGGGGAATGTCAAAACGAATCTCTGTTTCTAATTTCTAATTTTCACGAATGGTTTCTGTTCGCACTGAGTTTATAACAAAATTGGTGGATCGATCTCAGCTAAATTTACACCCGTCTCATCCTCACATCCTCGCCTAATCTAGCTGGGATTTAGGAACCTCCTTCTAACCCATCCCCAGCACTTTTTTTTCATCTCTCGTTTTGTTTAACTGTTGCATGCTTTCATATGATTTGTCACTAATTTTTTTTTTTTTTTCGTTTAATTTGTTTATGTTGAAAAGCAACGTTGAAAAATATGCTTTTGGCACACGATTTCTGTTTAAGAAAATATGTTGAAATTTATTTAAAAACATTAGAAAATATATTTCAGCGTTGCTTTTTGGTAACAGGAAGTTTGTTTAATTTACAAATATTGTGTATATTTATTTACTAATACTAGTAGAAAAGGCGGTAATCCTATGAACCCCTTTCAGGTGACAGTCACATGCTCAATTTTTTTTATTTCAAATAGCGAAGAAGTTAAGTGACGCTTCATTTGAAAGGTTTTAAAAAGCTGATTTCAAAAATGTATTCAAAACAAAACAAAAATACGTTTATTGAATTTTGTTACACTTACATATATTACGAAAATCCTTAGTAATGAACTGCTGATATAGTACAAAAATCAGCTTTTCATAACCTTTCAAATGGGGTATTACTTCACTCCCTTGCTATTTAAAAAATGGAGGCTATCGCTGTCATCTGAAGAAGGTTCATACGACTATGAAAACTTTGATATCGTCGGATACTCTGATGGGTTTAAAAATCGACCTTTTTCTCTAGTCTAAACAAGTTGATAAGGGAGTAATACAATCGTCTCACGGAATGAGTAAAAAAATGACTTGATAAAAAAATGATTTGATAAAAAGATGACATTATAAAAAAATTCGTTATCTTAGAAAAAGTAAAAGCTGTGGAAAAATTGAGACAGTAGCATTGTGTATAGACATCATAAAAAATTTAAATTGAATCTAAAATTAAAAAAAAATCATTATGTTATACTTTAAACATTACTTCCATGTTTTTAAATATTAACAATAAAATTAGCTTTGTTTTAATGCATGCAAGAAACTGACTGAGTGATTACATAAATATTTATTTTTACATTATTTAAACATGTTATTGCCTGGTGAGAACAATAGAGGCGAAACTCAAAAATCAAGAATTTTTGGTTAAGCCCTCTTTCATATGAAAGAGCGGCGTAAAGATATTTCACTTGACGCAGCGCATGTCATAACGGAAGAGATAAAATGGACTAGTACTTGATGCATTAGCGACGTAAGTCAGTGTTTCCACTTGTCTTCTTTGGAATATAGCGTCAAAAATGTATGCCAATAGTGGCGAATTTGTAATTACGCCATGGTTGTACGTGTGTGAACTAGTATAAAATTTATTGTAATAATGATGTAACTCAAAAATAAATACCTATATTCCTTTATTTATCCAAACAACACTTAATACTAGTTACTTTAAATAACTAAAAGCACATTATAGATAAAAAAAAAACAAAAATGATTACCTTTTTGTCAGTTATATTGTTCAGAAGTATTAGCAAAATTTTAAATTAAATAAGCTTGTCTCAAAATGTTTATTTTACAGTTATGTTCTTACCAGGCAAACAGTAAAAATTCATATTTCATATATTTAAAATGTATATTAACAAGCACCGTTTTCATTGTTGTAACCTAGCACATTAATTATTTTTCATCACTCATTCAAATTCTTATAATACAGTTTATATCAACTGCTTTTCAATTCAAACTTAAATCAAAATCGATAAAACTTATTTTTTATTCTAAATAATCTCTTAAATAAAAGCAGTTGGTTGTACATCAATATCGGTTTTAATTTTTTTTTCTCATCATTCATTATTTTTAGTTCCACCAAGATGGATTTTGGAACCGACTGATAAAGCATTTGCTCAAGGTTCTGATGCTGTTGTTGAATGTAAAGCTGATGGATTTCCCAAGCCCATAGTTACATGGAAAAGGGCTACTGGTACGTACATCTTCGTCTCAAGATACCTCTTAATTCATTTAAGATAAATAATACTGGTGAATGTAATATTGTTTTTCTTTTCAGGTGTATCCCCTGGAGATTATAAAGACTTTAAACCTAATAACCCTGATATAAAAGTCGAAGATGGAACTTTAACTATAAATAACATTCAAAAAACTAATGAAGGCTATTACCTTTGCGAAGCTGTCAATGGAATTGGCTCAGGATTGTCAGCTGTTATCCTAATCAGCGTACAAGGTATGATTTCACTAATAATTTTTTGTGTCAAAAATATGTGTATAATAATTTTTAGCTCCACCGCAATTTGACGTTAAATATCGCAACCAAACTTCGAGAAGAGGTGACCCCGCGGTACTCCAATGCGAAGCAAAAGGCGAAAAACCAATAGGCATTATCTGGAACATCAACAACAAAAGACTTGAACCCAAAGGCGATAACAGATACACCATCAGAGAACAAATATTGCCAAACGGTGTTTTATCAGATTTGAGCATCAAACGCACAGAAAGAGGGGATTCAGCCATATTTACATGTGTAGCTACAAATGCATTCGGTAGTGATGATACTAATATTAATATGATTATACAAGAGGTTCCTGAAGTACCATACGGGCTGAAGGTTTTGGATAAATCTGGTAAAACTGTTCAACTATCTTGGGTCTCGCCTTATGATGGAAATTCTCCTATTAAGAAGTAAGTGTTTGAGTAACTCCAAACTCTTCTGACCTTAAGAGATGTTTCCTGGGTATAAATCCATTTAAATTGTGTATTTTTAGATTCCTAATCGAATACAAACCAAGCAAGGGAAGTTGGGACAAAAATTCCGAACGGGTGCTTATTCCTGGCGACCAAACAGAAGCGGGAATCTTCACATTACGCCCAGCTACTACATACCACATTAGAATTATAGCAGAAAACGATATTGGATCCAGCGATCCTTCAGATACTGTTACCATAATTACCGCTGAAGAAGTTCCAAGCGGGCCACCTACTAATATTAAAGTTGAAGCCGAAGATCAACATTCTATAATTGTTTACTGGAAACCCCCATTGAGGGACCATTGGAACGGAGACATACAGGGTTATTACATTGGTTATAAACTAGCAAATACCGATAAGCCTTACTTATTCGAGACTGTTGAAATTCAAAGAGAAGATGAGGCTAAGGAACACAACTTAAAGGTATTAAATTAAATAAGCTATAAACTTATTATTACTTTAAAAAAATTCCAGATTACTAACCTGAAAACCTACACTCAATATTCTGTGATATTACAAGCATTTAATAAAGTTGGAGCTGGTCCAACATCTGAAGAAATCAAAGCCAACACTGCAGAAGGAGTTCCAGAACAACCACCAGAAAAAGCAACTTGTACTACACTCACTGCTCAAACTATCAGGGTTTCTTGGGTATCGCCACCTTTGACATCCGCCAACGGTGTTATCAAAGGCTACAAAGTTATATACGGACCTTCAGATTCTTGGTTTGGTAAGTTACAACTAGATGTTTAATATCTTCTTAATGAAATCCTAACCTTATATTTATTTTTGTAGACGAAAAAACCAAAGACACAAAAATAACTGCTTCAAGTGAAACTATACTGCATGGTTTAAAGAAATACACAAATTACAGCATGGAAGTGTTGGCCTACACCTCAGGAGGAGATGGAGTAAGAACGACGCCAATTCACTGTCAAACCGAACAAGATGGTAAGTTTTGATCTAAATATTGAACATCCAATTAATAATTATTTTAAATATTTTCAGCACCAGAAGCACCAACTGCTGTCAAAGCTTTAGTTATGTCAGCCGATTCAATTTTAGTGAGTTGGAAACCACCAATCGAACCAAATGGCATTATCGAGTATTACATGGTATATTACAAAGAGACTGGTAATAATGATGACAAACCCAAATCGCAGAAGATCGTTCCCAACTTGCGAAACCAAAACTTAAGTTACCAAGCTAAAAATTTAGATAGCAATCTTAAATACGAATTTTGGGTGACAGCCGCAACAACCATTGGAGAAGGGCAGGCTTCAAAGAAAGTTACAGTGTCGCCTAGCACAAGTGGTAAGTAAAAAAAGTGTAATATTTGTGTTAGAATGTGGTTAGCTATCAATTCCATCATTACGAAAAATTAATATTTATGATTTCGGTATATGTGTTTAATGGTGTTAATGGAAACAGACACTCGCATCTCTTAAAAACATTTCATCTCCGTTGTTGGGAATTTTAATCGTTATATTCGTATTACACAAAAGTCCTTCCATGTGCAGATCAATTACAAGAGAATAGCTTTGCTACGGCAACTGTAATTTTTTATTCTTTATGCTTTTAATGATAATTTTGATAGTTGTCTTCCACATTAACTTTAAATTCCTTTGTTAAAATTCATTATCAAACCAGTTAATCTACTGTAGGTATTTTTTTTACATAGTTGAATTCAATTTATTTTTTACTATTATTTCTCCGTGCAACATTTAAGAAATTAAAATCGTTTTTGCATCCACACTTTGTTTTTAGTTCCCGCCAAGATAGCATCATTTGACGACACATTTACCACCACCTATAAAGAAGATGTAACATTACCATGTTTGGCAGTGGGTGTACCAACACCAGTCATCACGTGGACCATTAAAGGAGTGAAATTTTCGGCTAATACTAATGATAGAGTACGTCAACATCCTGATGGATCATTATTTATTAGAGACATCACTCGTACTGATGCTGGAGAGTATTCATGCAAGGTATTTGATATATTTTTGGTAAAACTCTGCAACACATTTTTATTATTTTGTTTGATGTATTTAGGTCGAAAATGATTATGGTCAAGATTTCGTTACTCATCACCTTATAGTCAACGCACCACCAAACGCTCCGATAGTTCAATTGACTGCAACCACTACAAACTCTTTGACAATCAAACTCAAACCTCACGAAACTGATGGAGAACCAATTCACGGTTACACCATTCACTATAAACCTGAATTTGGAGATTGGGAGACGATACAAGTCGGTCCGCATGTGGATAAACATACCATTGAGAAGTTGTTGTGTGGTACAAGGTACCAATTGTACGTTACCGCGTATAATAGGTGAGTCCAGAGTGGTATCTATCTATCTCAAATTATTAATGTATGATACTTTAATTGCAGCATTGGAACAGGAGACCAATCGGACAATTTGAATCCCAAAACTAAAGGAGAGAAACCTATCATTCCCAGTGCTGATAAGTTCATAGAAGTATCTTCCAATAGTATTACATTGCATTTAAACGCATGGTCGGATGGAGGTTGTCCAATGTTGTATTTCGTCATAGAACAGAAGAAAAAGTACTTATATCACAATTTAATATATTTCTTAATTTTCCAATCAATAGATTTTGTTATTTCATCACTTTTTTGATCCTTAGGACAAGCACAGAATGGATCCAGGTATCTAATCATGTGAAGCCAGGCGGTAATTTTGTACTTCTCGATTTAGACCCAGCTCAGTGGTACCATCTGAGGGTGACGGCTCATAATAATGCTGGATTTAATGTGGCTGAATATGAGTTTGCTACACTTACTGTTACAGGAGGTAAGGTTGTTTTTGTATATATGTACAGAGGTCGGTTTTTATTAGTTGATTTGCTTGTATATAAAATTTTTATAAATTGTTTTTTGTTATTATTTTTATACATATGTCTGATTTTTAAATCTAAATATTTAATTAAAAAATTAACTGCTTGAATTCTGCTGTAAAAAATTACTATTTGAAGCAAGAATCGGAATTCTTATTTTTTTTTAAATTTTAATATTTTTTGAACCGTTTCAAAGGAGTTTCCAATATTAGAAATATATTCAAATTAATTTACAGCTTTTATGCTTATATAATTTATGCTTCTGTCCTATAAATATCAGCAAACGATGAGTCTATTAGCATCCTTTATAGCAGTGGTCGCCAACCTGTCGATCGCGAGCTATCTGTAGCTCGCGGAAGCAATTCTGGTAGCTCTCACAACGATTTTAATTAAAAAATACAAACTGCAAAAATCAGAGCAGCTTCCGAAAATTCCACAAAAAAATCTAATTGTCATAATATTAAACATAAACAGCGGCAACGTTGCGGTGAGCGATCTGCCGCTGACGCCATCAAGCTAGAATCGGCTAGAACCGACCAGCCGGACCAGCGCGTTAGTGTTCGAGAACGATCATGATTGCTTTGAACGGGATAAATACGCACGGCGCGGCGACATTGCGCTTAGTTTAAAACTGAACGCGTAACCAACGTCCAGCGGTTAGGTTAGTAGAGAACAACAAAAAATAATATTATGGCAAGTAGTTGTAAGAAGGTAAAGACATACCACTTTCATTCGGAATGGGAAGAACAATACTTTTTTGCAGAAGTTAAAGATAAAAATGTGTGTTTGTTATGTAATACTTCGGTCTCCGTTGCTAAAAAAAGAAATATTGAGAGACATCATAAAACTGTAAATTCTAATTTTGAAAAATCATTTCCACTACATTCTGCCGCCAGAAAGGAGAAACTGAAACAGTTAAAAAAGCAGTTAATTGGACAACAATCAATATTTTTAAGAACAGTCGACAAAAATAAGGCTGCAACTGAAGCATCGTACCGTGTGTCCCAGATAATTGCACAAAAAAAGAAACCTTATGAAGACGGGGAAATGATAAAACAGGCGTTTTTAGAAGCTGCTGATTCGTTATTTGCCAACTTTAGAAATAAAGACGAGATAGTTTCAGCTATAAAATCTATGCAACTTTCTGCTAATACAGTGATCGATGAGACGTGTAGAAGTAATGAGCAATGATATTTTTTTACAGTTAAGAACTGACTTAGATAACTGTGTTTATTTTTCACTTCAACTGGATGAATCAACAGATGTCGTTGACACTGCCCAGATGGCCGTGTTCGTCAGGATGGTTTTTAGTGATTTTACGATTAAAGAAGATCTTTTGAAGTTTATTCCACTGAAAGGACACACTACTGGACAGGAGTTGTTTTCTCATTTAAAAAATTATATTTCTTCCGAGAAAATTCCTATATCGAAAATAGTAGGTTTGACAACCGATGGCGCTCCAGCTATGGTGGGTTGTGATAAGGGTCTGGTGGCGTTATGTGGTAAAGATGAAACTTTTCCGCAATTTATCTATTACCACTGCATTATCCATCAGCAAGCATTATGTGGAAATTTCCTGAAACTACACAACGTTATGAAACTGGTGGTAAAAATTGTGAACAAGATTAGAGCTCAAGCGTTACAAAGAAGATTATTCAAAACCTTGGCCGATGAAGTTGACTGTCAATACGGGGACCTACTCCTTTACTCTGAAGTAATGATGTCCTATCTGGCATAGTTCAATTTTTCAAACAACGCGATGAACCGACTCCGGAACTAGAAAATTCAATCTGGCTTAGAGATTTTGGTTTTCTCGTGGACATTACAGAAAAATTAAACGAACTTTATTTGCAGCTTTAGAGGAGAGACAAAGAACTAGCGGAAATGATTTCAGATATAAAAGCATTTATCAAAAAGCTGGAGTTTTGGGAACAAAACCTAATTAACAGCGATGCCAAGCATTTTCCTATTCTTTCAGAAAAAATATCTCAAAATCCATTAGAACCCTATGACAGCAAAAATCATGTAGAAATAGTTTCTACCCTGAAGAATAACTTCAAAAATCGTTTTAAGGATTTCAACGAAATGGCTTTAGTAGCGCAGTTTGTTGTTTCACCCTTTATGGAAATTGATATCCAACAGTTTGCAACTTGTGTTATGCAGAACTTTGGCGAAGACATCGCTGCAACAGAAATGGAAGTAATTGAGTTTCAAAATGATTTAGCCTTAAAATCGTTAGTCTCAAGTACCAAATGTATCTGGCCTATTGTAAGTAAAGACAAATATTCAGTTCTATGCCGTGTTGCCTTGAAAGTGAAAGCATTATTCAGTTCAACCTATTTGTGTGAATCTTCTTTTTCCAATATGAAGTTTATTAAGAACAAATATCATAATCGACTTACAGATGAACATTTGGATAATTGTATTCGAATGGCTGTATCAAATTATACTGCAAACATTAAAAAAATTATCGATGAGCCTGAGTGTCAGCCTTCTCATTGAACGTGCTTTTTTATTTTTCAATGTTTATGTTCATGATAGTGCGTTACTTTTTTGTTGTTATTATTAACTATTTTTAAATCTTACGTGACATGCCGTTGTGGCTGGATAAAAGTTTGTGTTTATTTTTCAAACACCTTCGTTTGGTAGGTAGGAATGTAGCTATGAACAAGTACGTACTAGTAATATTAGTTATTTTGTTATTAGTTTATTATTAGTACCTAAGTATTATGTATTACCAGTTAAATAGTAAAATAAATACATATAATGATAAATTAACTGTGGATTATTTCATTTACGTTGCGTTACGTGGCTTCCGTGTGGGTAGCTCGCTGTTTATTCCAAAATTAACAAAGTAGCTCAACACATTGAGAGGTTGGCGACCACTGCTTTATAGGACTGACTATAATAACAGCTAAAAAACTTCGGAAAACAACTACTCCTTCGACTAATACCGCAACAGGTATTGAATTATATATATTTTTCTACGATGTAATTATTTTAAAACAGGGTTTACAAGAAGGCTTTAATATTTTATAGGTACAATCCCAACTGTCGAACAAAAGCAGACACCAAAACCAAATAGAGAGCAACCCAGTATGTTCAAAAAACATTGGCAATGTTATTCAAGTTGTATAAGCCAAATTGAAAATATTGAATTAGAATACGAATTATGAATTTTGAGTTAAAAAATTTAAAAAGTGTTAGCCAATTAGTCTTAATAATAGTTCAATAAATATTTAACTAGCAACATGAATTTATTAATAATTTTTTTTTATAATAATAGATTTTTCGACACATAACTCATTAAAATTAGTTTCATATTGTTTTAAATTATTAGGCCATTTCCTCCTTGTACGATCTTCATTAACTAATTTTTCTAAACTCATATTATAATTAAAAGTAGTTTTTTTTTTTATTCTTCTGACCTTTCCTGCAAAATTATCAAAAATATGGCCCACTTAATCAAAAAAATGTTCAGAATATGAATTAAAAATAAAAATTTCTACAAATAAGTTATTCGAAATATTTTTTTCATATTTCCTCTCCATTGCGGTCCATTTTAGAGAAATCATGTATATGACAATCATTTTAGAGACTGACAACTTTTATTCAAATCATTTTCTTCTCTAATCATAAATACCTTAAAGGACAAAACAACCACCTACAAAGTTCTCCCCCAGATGCTTCGACTATTCCCAAAATATAACCATAGCAGAATGGAAAATTATTGGCTTATTTTTCCCTCCTATAAATATACAAATATATTTTATAAATAAATGGAAAAATGGCCATATAATACTAAATTTGTTTGTGGTTGAACATCGTAATGAGGTAAGATTTTTCTTGCTTATTTAGAAGAATGTTGCTATTGGTCTATATTAACAAAGAAAAAACTGCTAATTTTGGGCATTTTATTTAAGAATTTTATCATTTTTACTTTTAATATACTGGGCGTCTCGATTTTATTATCTTAATTTTAAAGAATCAGCTTTTCACTACGTGGTGTGTCATTGTGACATAAACGCAAGTATTCGGAAATATAAAATAAATCAGACATATGTCAAAACATTGTTTTTATTTTTATTGTGTTTATTTGCATGTTTTTGAACATCAAAATATTAGCATGCCAATTTTTTAATTTTATAAATTCACATTTTGTGTTAAGTTTGCAGCACATGTTTTATAAAAAAAAGCCGACACTATTTTGTACATATTCATAAAGAAAGGATTTTTGAAAGGCTTGATAATCAATCATATCTCTGCTTAATAATAATTGCAATAGTACCTGAATATATTACATAGCGCTGCAAATCGTTCATATTTAATTACTAACAATCAAATTCATGTCCTAAACAAATAAATGTTTTTATTTAATTATTAGAATGACATGTCATAATATCATTGATCTAATTGATACTAATAATAATAATGATGATACAATAAATATACTAACACCTATATGCTGCATACAAAAAAGCAGATACGCATGATATCTATGTTGATTGCATGGACATTGACATAACTAATAAAAATTTAACAATTGAATAGCTGTACAGGGTAGCCAAATAAAATTTATTTCCTTGCTAAGATATTTTCTTCTTCAAGATATTTTACTCAACAATTATTTTGACGGCTCGAGTTTTTCTACCCTTTTACTAGACAAATTTTTAAACTCACTCATTTTGAATTACTCAAAAGTTTTACTTGTTTTTCTATGACTAAGTTTTTAATATAGTTTTTCCCAAATAATCCTGGCCACAAATTTTACTTGGAAATCATGTATATTTATACAGACTATCTATAGATATGAATTTTATTAATTTTCAAATAATATCTTCGTGCCTTCCGCCTTATTTCAATAGGCAGGTTTAGAATTTTTGCTAAAAATTTACTTATACTCATTTTCATTATATTTTATTTATTCTTTATATTTTTAAAAAAATCACATTTTTGTGTTTCTTTTATTTTTATCAACATTTTTAGTTATTTATATCTAGTTGAAAATGTGGAATGCTAATATAGGTGTTGTATAACTAGAATTTAAGTATTTTTAATATCTGCTAAATAGCAGCTCGTTTTCAAGTGAATATATTTTCAATTTATCTAATTTTCTAAAAATATAAATTATGCCAAAACAAATTATTGGTCCTTCACCACCAAGTTTTTTATTTTCTCTCAAAACTACTTATTTGCCCTATAGAAATTTTAATATTTGTTAAAATTTTCTCATCGATAATTTAGGATGTTTCTCGAATATTTTGGGCAATGCTTCAGAGTTTTGTTCATTATACAAAATGGCTCTTTGATCACTGCTCAAAATTTAGTTCAGATAATTACACTGCCCAAGAATATTCATTGGTTTTTTTTTAAGATTTGATGTGAAACTATTATCCTTCATAGGCAAAATGTACAATGGATTATCGCGTAAGAAAACTCACACAAATAAGGAATTTTCTATGGGAATAGCAAAAAATGTACTGTATAAATACAGGATGTACCTTGTATGAAAGTCCAATGTTTTCTTTATCTCTATTATTTTTATCAACAAATAATGAAATAATATACTGGGTATTCGATTTGTTTAACGATTTTGAAGTTGATATATAAAATCGCCTTTATGTATTTACTGAATGTTTTAATTTAACTATCAGTAACAAAGTTTTTTTTTTTAATAATGTCATTAATAATTTTTCAGTATTTTTTCACAATTTTTGCCAAAAGCAGAATTTAAATTTAAAAAATCGATATTAAAATTATACCGGTGTAAAGGAACACTCTGTATATTTCACAATATTTTTAGAAATATACAAAAAAGAAAATATAACATTTTAAAATTAAAAAAAAAATAAATAAAATAGATATTGGACTTTCTCGCACTAAAGGGTCACCATGTATAAAGTATTATTAACTTGGCTTTTTGGTGGTGAAGTTTCATTTTGTTTACTTAGTACGATATGATCTGTTTCTATTAAATTCAATAATTATTAAAATAAATATTAATAATCACCAAATCTTTGTATATATTTTACTACCCGGATATAATACAGAGTATCTCAGGAGTTGATGTCAAAATCATTTTTAACGAGTCTAAAATTATTAAAAGGCTTTCGATACACGGTTTTCGCTGATTTCTGGTTAATTTTGTTTATTTTTTTAATCCGTGAAGAAAATGAATATTTATATTTATTATTGAAGGAGATCTAGATTTCTAAAAAATAAAAAACGCCATCTTGCATTCGTACAGATTGAAAAATATTATAATTTTGGAGAGATGTTTTCAATAGTAATAATCCAAGGAGATTGATAATTGTTCACAAAAAATGTAATTACGAATGTTACTTGAAAACAGAACGAGGTCTGTTGCCTATAAGAAACATGCTTGAAAAAATTATAAAATTTTTGAGTATTTATCAATGTTCGAGGGTTATTCGGATAGAAAATGTTTTGCTAATTATCATAGAAAAAATACAAAGCAAAAATTATAACTTTCATTCCTTTATAATATATTTTTCGTAATAACTTTCTGGGTTTTGACCATAGCTTCTTTAAACTCTGTAATATCTTTTATTCTTATGTTCTCGGTACAGTCCTTTAAAATTGACGCCAGTAAGCTCACGCGTGGACACTTAATTTACATTGCTTGTCTATAGGAAAAAATATACGAAATGTTCTACAAATTCCAATTATCTAATTTTTCAAGACCCTAATTTTGTAAATTTCCATGATTTTCTGGCCGAAAGCCTTTCTTATTGGGCCATCTGTTACCTTAATTTCAAATACAATTTTTTTTTACCAGAAGCAGTTATATATAAAAAAATTATATGACGTATCGACATTATTTTGTTCTCGTTTTATTACCGACATCACCTCCCGGAACACCCTGTTAAGTAACATCCTTAACCTGTAAATTTTAGTCTATCCGGTAGTATTCTTGTTTTTTACTAATGAGCTGTGACATGATCATTTTGAACCTGAGCACTTCGTAGCTTCCTGTCTGGAACCCCTTGACACACATCCCTGTGTTTTGGTTTCAGGTACTATTGCCCCGGCTCGTGAAATTCCCAAAGAGGACACCATACAAATAATCCTTGCGAACCTTAACCTTGTAGTTCCCGTAGTGGCTGCCGTCTTGGTCATAATCGTAGCCATAATTGTGATCTGTGTGTTGCGTGGAAAAGGAAACTATAATAAAGGTACAGTGTAATGTGTGTTCCTCATTCTAGGTACGATTGCTCCAGCCAGAGATATGCCGACTATGAAGTTGCTCTTCCCTTGGATCCCCGATTGGGTCGATTGGAACATTGCCGTGCCAGTGGCAGCGACCGTTGTCGTACTCGTTGTCGGTATTGTTGTCATTTGCGTGGCGCTTTCCAGGAAAGCTCACGGGCCTCTCCAAACAAGGCTCCGGAGCGACTGTATGTGTATGGTCCCCTTCTTCATCTCTCATCTAATTTTTTTTGTTAATTTTCCTTTTTTTAGTTAATTTTATCTAGGCCGAAGTAGTACAGATGTTGAGTTTCTAAATGATTAGTTATGTATTAAAAAAAAATAAATACATTAGAACAAAAATATAAAAATTACAAAAACAAATTGATAAATAACACAATGTATTTACAAATGAATAGGAAAAATGAAAAACTAAAGATAATTTGAAAAGTAATAAATCACCGGGAAAAAATTAAATTAGAAATGAAATTTTAAAATAAATTAAATATAATAATAATACTCTCCCTAATTCACCCCCTTACGAGTGAATTTCAACCCCTGAAGTCGACTGAACGACTTGTGTAGGGGAAGGGACGGCTATTATTATTATTTGCCGTGGCGCTCCGGGGCGACTTAAAGATGATTAATGGTACCATTTGACTTACAGGTGAGGAAAACCCGGAAAACCTCACCCACCATCATCGAGACGGTAATGCATGGCGATTTTTTAATCTGCATGTCATATCAACAGAAATTGAATTTATATTAATACGGCACACATCAAATCCTACACCGAACCATGCAATTAAAAATCAACATGGTCTGGTCTGGGATTCGAAGCCCATCAGTCTCAAACTCATAAACTTGCCTATAAATGAATATAAGCGCGTTAGACCACTACACTACCGACCCGATTACTCCTTTTACACATTTAATATACTCTGCAATGGAAAATTAATCGGATACT